GAGAAAGTTCTGGTGTTTAGCAGCATAGAGGTGTTACCGCACAATGTGCATAAACGAAGAATTTGTAAATGAGCTTCCGTAGGAGCCCTTCCTGTAATGGAGTGTGTAGGACGCTGCTGGCCTCTTATGAAAATATCAAAAGATCGAAAGCGCTGATAAAGCTGAAACACGCTGTAGCGGTGCACGACATGCCTATTGAAGCGATTGCAGATAGTGTTGGTCTTTGACACGAATCCACAGTTATGGAGACATTTGTACTAGACAGTGACTCGGAGTGTGGATTTACCAGTGGTCGGGGTTTTTTGAATTTTCTTGGGTAACTATTGACTGCAGCACTTAGATCCACCTCGTGGATTAAAGCCACGAGAATGTTCTACCATTTGTTAGTCATAAATGTTACCTATTGATTTTTCAAAAAGAAAGAAAATTTTAGAAAGAGTGTCGCAGAACTTTCTTGCCAACCTAATATATTTCTGCTCCACTTTTTAAATAGAGTGTTGAACATCACTCTTTCTCCCTCATCTGTTATTTATTTATTTATTTACTGTGCTCCACCTGACGCGCTTCGCCCATACTCAAACTAGCTAGGGATAAATGGGATAAACATGTAATCGTCTGTAGTAACGCGTTAACTTAAAGGCAAGATTCAGGATTAAATTGATGGGGAAATTCTACTCAAATGTGAAGTAGGGGTGGAAAGTGGACTGCCAATGGAGAAAAAAGGAAAAACATTCGTAAAATACACAGGAAATACGAGCCTTTTGCTCGAGGTTGCGGAGAAGATCAAAAGCCGGCAGGGAGGTGAGAGATAATGTGAGCGCGGAGAGCGCTAGAGAAGTACGAGTAGAGAGAGCATAGCAGATCAAGTCAGCGACGCGGACAAGATATCGAGCGGTGGGCGGAGCGTGTCGCAACAGGTGGAGCGTGTCAAATCCTTAAGCGTCTAGCGTCTTAGTGACGCGTTTCGATGCAGGAACGTGGCGCGCCTTCTGCAGTTGCGTCCCACGCACTTCTAGCCACTATAAGGGCTTATTAAGTGGGTCTGAGCCCGAACTTTGCCTTTAAGCAAATCAAATTGAAAACAAATAGGAACAAAACGGATCATAACCAAACTATTAGCTGAAGAGCTTGATACAAATGGAAAAGAAAATAGAAAAACATTGAAGGTAGTGTCCAAACGCATGAAAAAAGACCCTTGCCGCTCAAATGGTGCTCATCCGGTGACCAATACGACCCAGTGACGCCGTGACCGCTCCAGCGCGCATGCGCGTAAGCCAGTACAAGATACCCACCTGCACCAGTCGGCTATGGTGCCCACTCGCCACAGCAGGGGTCATAGGAGCTTACCGCAACTTCGAAACACGGGTATACCGACCTCCCTCGTGGAAACGGTAAGCTAGGAGAGTATAAAGTCTGACCTACATGCATGCGCCCGGAGTGTCCATCCAGCCACCAAACCATTGGTACTCGACAAGGAGAAAACTTCCATCGAAACATCAAGAGACCTGTCAGAAGTCTTGAATGAATGTGGCGGACATGAGTCCAAAGGACCATTGTGAGAGAGATCCGATCGGAATACTCTGCAAAGCTTTTCGGCACAGGATGCGTATTTGCGTGAAGAGCACTTGTGTGATATCCGCTATAGCTTCGCAAGATAGGTTCATGTTTGCTGGTAATGAAGCGAGGAATTGCTTCGACAAAAGAGAAAGATAATTACAGAGTCAATTTACGTAGTTCTGATCATGAGTGAGGTTTTTGTGGATCGAAAACTCTTGCCATTATGCCAAAAGTCGGCACTATTCAACTATTACAACCCCAAAATCTCAAAATTTTATTTTTCGTCGAAACTTCGCCTATAGGGGTTATTCGATGCCCTGATTACGAAAATGACATTTGTTTTTGGCGTTGGCGCCATTTGGCGCCAGGGCTGTTTTCACCAAATTCGCTGTAAACTTGTATATAGGGGTTATTTGGGGTCCTGATCACGAATATAACATTCATTTTTCCCGCTAGCGCCTGTGGCGCCTGTTTTCCGCTCGTCTGCGCCCTCTCACTGATCAGCTCGCGATCAGGACTAAGCCTTTGAGGAGGAGTGCTCCGAAGTGAATAACACTTATCCTGTGATCTTATACGCTTTAACATTTGCCACATGTTGACTGGTTCACCCACCCCGGAGTCCTCCCTCCTTCCTAGGCTTAGTCCTAGGTATTATGTACAAGTGAGAGGGCCCAGGAAAATGGAAAATGTGCGTTGAACGGTGGAAATGCTAAAAACGAATGACATATCCGTAATCAGGACCCAAAATAACCCCTGTATACAAGTTCACAGCTAATTTGGGTAATAATTGAATAGTGCCCAAAAGTCCACTCTTGTAAAGGTTATTGGTGCCCCTGTTCCCGAACATGATATCAGTCTTGGCGCTTGTGCCACTTGGGAGCCAAAAAGCGAGTGCCAGTTCAAGATGCAAAACGCTAACACCGGGTAGGATTCGAACCGACAACCTCAATCCTCCCCATCCAATAAAGGTCCATTTGGCTATCCACTACACCACTGCACTAACTTAAACAGTGGACCGACGCCCCTTCTGAGATGACCGTAGATTTCGGACATATTTCGTTGCCATGAATTCGTACTTGACGAAATTTTGCGTCATCTTCAAAGTCAAGGTCTACGAGAAGCTTTTCATACACAAATAGGTTAGTGATTTAATTTGCAATTGCCTCACGAAGGGTTGATCCATTCTCAACAGCGATTAAGCGATTCATAGTCGACTGTGTAAATTTCCAGCACGCCGTCATCTTATCTATTCAGTATTCGGGTAAACGAATCCGTAACGGATAACATTGATTCCTGAAATTGTGATTCCTAAAGTGAGGCTGTTATCACAGTATCGGATCGAAAGGCCTGTTTGTCGAAAATTTAAGGATGTCAATATAAAAAAGTCATCAAGCAGTGATGTGTGCTTTCATTATCATTGTTAATGACCGTTGCAGTCCACAAGGGCATTATCGCGGAAATGTGCGCGATCTTTATGTTGTATATGTAACTTGTTTTTATCAATGTATTGGAATGTAAGGGTCGCCGGCGCAGCGCGGTAAAAAAAGCGCGCAGCTGGCTGTTTTTGGCTTCTCAGAAAGCTGTGCCAGCGACTCCGTTTATAAGCGGTAGTGACTCATTAGGGGGTTCTCCTTCTTGCTCTCACCGAACTTCGGTTCCTGTTCGTGTGTATTTTAGACTATTCGCTCAATTTTGTCTCTTCCGGGGCTTCTGGGACTCCTGAGGTTTCTGAGACTCCATTTACCGTTACTCAGATTGTGAATTAGTTTTAGATCAACATTTAGGGCTCCTCAAACATGTCAGACTCATACGAGAGGTGCTCTTTGGATATATTAGTGAATCAATAAACACTTAGTGATTATTGTTTTGGATATTCAGTGAGAGGAAGATATACTCCTATATCGTATCTGGACAAAATAAAACCGCGTGGCTCAATATCTATTTTAGGCATTCTCAAAAAATTCCTTCGATTATAAAGAAACAAAGGGCTTTGGTGAGAATCTTCTTGGCAGCCCGAGAACGGTATCAATGTCAGCTGCAGTGTACGTATATACCAAAAACTGTGAACATGTAGTATGAGGAAAGGCTCGATGAAAGGTGAGAGTTCTCACTGAGTGAGTAATATTTCTTGAGGCGAAATTGTCTTAACCTGGCCCTCTATTCTAACGCACTCAATGGGGTCGAAATACACTTCTCCAGATCTCCGGAGAAGTCTCATAATCGTTGCATGATGAGCTTGCGCAATGCTATGAAATGTCGCTGAGTTCGATGAGGAGAATGAATTACATCTGTCGAAGAGAACTAGCAGATGATTGAACAGCAACAGTTGACACAGACTGAATTAGAATCCGGCTTCTTTGACACGCGATCCTATGAAGAGTCGAAAGAAATGAGAACTTCTAAAGAAGTACTTGAAGCTCTGAGGAAATAAACCTGTGCCCTTCCGTGAAAAGTGATTACAATCAAGCTGTCTCAGTGACTAACCAATACAATCGTCCAACCTCCATAATGGGCTTCAGAATGGAAGGTTTTTTCACGATATTACTTGTATTTATTTCATTCATTTAATTCGTTTGGACTCATTTCAACGACTTTGAGTTGTTTTTTTGGGCGATCATAACGCGCGACAGGGCGACAACTGTAACCAAATGTTCGATGAAAGGTGACACAGGAAGTTTCTCAGGCAGGAAATGTCTCCACCGTTTCTGGTCAGAATCTGAATACTAATGTCGTCTTTAAGCTGGTTTCCGGCGAAATTTCTCAACATGCTCCGATAACCCCCCTGATATGATGAGAGGAGGGATGGAAGAGCAGCTGGAATCGCGTGCAAACTGTTTAATGAATATGTCTCAACGTCAAATACATCCCTTCTCCGTCATCGTCAACGTCATTAATTAAGTATAAATACGGTGAGAGCGAGTCAGTGTCACCTTCCTCTCCTATCCTTTGTAATTGATTTGTAATTGAAAATTCCTCATTTAGAATCTGAATTGATATTCTATGAATTTCAGGATGAGAGCGCTTGTTCTCCTCACTCTTCTCGCGGTATGCGTGAGCGCAGGCTTGATCGACTTTAAAAACTCTGCTAGCAGCATCAAGGGACTGATCAAGGATAAAGTTATCGACAAACTAGAGAAGACTGCTGATCGCATCAAGGAGGTAAGGTAGTTGTTGCTATTCAGCCGTGATACACCGTATTGAAATTCTTAGGTGTTCGGCAACAACATGGCTGCTTTCAAGAAAAGGATAAGCGGCCTTAAGGATAAGATCCTGAAGAAGCTCACTTTGACCAAGGAGCAAAGAGCGGAGCTACTAGAGAGACTGAAGGTTTGCATTGTTGAGGTGGCCATCTATCGCTAGTGACCTGTAGATATTTTAGCTATTCAAAAGAAAGTCCGTTGACAAAGTGCAACCGATGGGCGACTCGATTAGAGGAAGTCAACATGAATAGCCACATTGCCGACGCTCTTTTCCAAGGGGATATGGTACTTTCAAAGTTCGTCTTTACAAACTCATTTTCTTCTCTGTTATTACGAAAAAAGCGCAAATGGCTCAAAAGGCAAAAACCTCCTTCAGCACTAAAAATGGACTGCGTATTGTGCGTGTATTGTAAATTTCTCGAGGTAAAATGGATTCCTAACCTTTATTTTGAAAACTCGTCAATATTTTTCGACATACTACTAGGATCAAAGAGAAGCGTATCTGAGGGCACTGCCTAGTTCGACTTTTTTTTATAAACATAAGGAATTTGCAGGGAGCAGGAAGATCAACTTGTTGACGACATTAACGACGAGGGCACTCGCTCCAAACGACAAGCCATGAGAGATCCACGATACCCTGGGAAAAGGTGGCATGAAGGGGTTAACTATTTCTTTGACGATAATGCAAGTCAGTTTTGTTAAATTCCAATTGTCGAACACAGAGCGCTGATCTGGCAGTGCTCAGCTAATGATGTTTAGGCCCAATAGTTAAAAGTGTCTTCAAGAAGGCGACGGAACTATGGAAGGCTGATACCTGCATCGATTTCAAAGAAGATAAAAATGGTTAGGAAGACCTTGTAAGAAATGAAAGCAACATACCGCAAATATCAATTTCAGCAAAGGACAGAGTACGTGTGTGGGTTGGGACCGGATGTTGGTCATCTGTTGGCAGAGTTGGTGGAATGCAGAACATTTCACTCGGACAAGGCTGCGAATCAGTAAGATTCCAAACGTTGAATACTTACTAATACCTCTAATGAAAACAGAAAGGTTCTAGGCACACAGAGGGATGTTCCGATGAGAACAGCCCTTAAAGCTGGTGCCTAACGTACAACTGTCAAGAGTTCAATAAGAGCCGTGCAACCACTTTTTTCGCTTCTTACAGCTTAGCGTAAAAAAACACGGTGTCACGGTCTCATCGTGTTTTTTGGTATTCGATGGATTCAGGTCGGAACCGCCGCACACGAAATCGGCCATGCACTGGGATTCTACCATGCGCACTCAAGACATGATCGTGATGAATTTATTACGGTCGATGTGGCTAATATCAAGGTGATTTGTGAAAGAACCATGGATTGGTCGTTAGATATGATGTTCTTCAAATGTTTCAGCCTGAATGGGTTGACCAATTTGTGCTGCGAACGATCGCAAACAATTACAACTACAACCTCACGTATGACTGGGGTAGTATAATGCATTACGGAGCTACAAGGTAGAAGAATGCACACGTAATAGTGTAGCGTCTCACGGAAAGTTGAGCCCCTTTTTGTAGCGCTTCTGCGAATAGGAAGCCGACAATGGTACCAAAAGATGCTAAATACACAGAAACGCTTGGTTCGCCTTTTATTGGCTTCTACGACCTGCTTATGATCAATAAGCACTACAAATGCATAGGTAAATTGTTGGCAATCCAGAGGTAGCTTGCAAAATCTCAAGTTGATTGCTTTCTAGACAAATGCAAAGATAAGCCCACGTCTTGCCAAAACCATGGATTCCCTCATCCTCGTGACTGTAGCAAATGCATTTGCCCCAGCGGATATGGTGGCCCGCTATGTGATAGAAGGGTAAGTGTTCGACTCGCAATTTCAGCAGAATGAAATGATGAGGCAACACAGCGATTAGTCGCGTGGTGTCTGATTCGAATTCGAAACTTGAAATCTGGACCTCATTCTATAATGGACTAGTCATCTGGCAGCAACAGGTTGTCTGTAGAGAACGTTGATTTTGGTACAAATCGGCCTACCTGAATTATTGCTTGCAACCAATTCCTCACCACACCCAGCAATTGAATTAAATTCAATTTAGCCAGCTGGGTGTGGTGAGGAATTGGTCGCAAGCAGCCAATGGCAGCAGTTGAAAGACAGGCTCGGCGATACAAGCTCAGGTGTTGTTCAGCGCGAAGACTTCATGAAGTGTAACTATTGGATCAAGGTTTGTCACTCGCGTACAAATTTTTTTTGTGTTTTCAAGTCGTTTTTATTAAGGCACCAGCTGGCAAAAAAGTAGAAGTGAAAATTGTTAGCTTCACCGACGGTGTTGCCACTGATGGATGCCCTTACGCTGGTGTTGAAATCAAAACACATGCGGACCAACGCCTCACAGGTTACAGGTAATTTTCTAAAAAAGAAAAATGTGCCCACAAAAAAGCATGGCATTTTCTGGAAGAATCTTCTAGGTTTTGCTCAAAAGACGACAAGAACACGATCCTGACCTCGACCTCCAACATCGTTCCAGTCATAACCTACAACCGATTCGGTGTCACCACAACTATGTTGGAGTACCGCTACGTTTAGAGACACTATCCAGAAGTTCCAAGAATATCTGGTGCCAGCGAATAAACACTTTCACATACAGTGTGCACGCCTACATACAGATCTTATTCCGGTAGACTCTGAGATTGGGCTACCACGACAGGGAGATGAATACGACTGATGAAATATAATCTGTAGAAACCAAAAGATGCGAAAGCGTTTGATAACAACAGATGATTGTGGTGATTTTAGGAGGGGGTGGGGGAGATTTGAGACGAGAGTGTGGAGAAAGAATAACATCCAAGGCGACTCGAGTCATTGGTCAAGAAGAGTTGCTTTAAGAGAGGCGACTGAAAGAAACCCTGATCGATCACAGAAGATGTCCTCGCGTGGAGCCAGAAGACGTTCGCTACTCATCTTCACATGTGTAGGGAATGATTTGAGTGCCAGCACCAACTTTGACATTTGACATTTGACACACCAATCCAATTAGATAAAGCACCCATTTCTACTGTCAACTTCAGTGCATGGATCAGGTGCAAATTTCGTTACTGTACACAATTCGCTTTTCAAAGAGACCTTTATCCCGTTATAAAGAAAAGGTGCCAATTTTGGGTTGAGCAGAGTTTTCCGTTTCATGTTATTTCGACATTTTGTCGATAATTTTTGCTTATTTTTATGCCGCTCTGAACTCAGCATTCTCGCCACCGTCTTGACAGTCTTGGTCGGAAGCTCAGAGTTAAACTATTCTATTCTCCACACCATTTGAGATGTGGAACCAGGGTCAACCGCCCGTTGCGCAAAGAACAACGAGGGGGTCGTATTCAGCCGAACGAAAAGGGAGGGGGTCGTATCCAGAGAGACGGGCTGCAAGACGGCTTGAAAAGTGCAGTGTCCGGGCAGTGCACTTTCACTCTAATGTTCTCCAGGAGCTCTGCACGTGCAGCTGTCGGAGAGTCACACAGACAAGAGCTCCATGGGAGCATTAGAGCATGCAGAGCATTATAAGTCTCACTATCAGCCATTATTATCCTTAATACACGGACGGCGCTTTCGCTCGACAGCATAGATCAAGATTACAATAGCCAAAAACTTTGTTACAGCGTAGTGCAAAAACATGGTCTGTCTTTCGATGATCCGATATTCTCCAGGAGAAGAATGAGAGGTTTAGTTCACTGGAGGTAAGTGTAAAAAAAAAACTAAAGACCATTATTTAATTTTGTGCCGTAGTGTCATTGCATATTTAGTATTAATAGGCTATCGTCGGAAACTTCTTTCAGGTGGGAAATGGAGGGACTTTGAATGCGGAGCGAACTTCTGTTCAACCGACAGGCTTGCCGGCGTATTGGAGTGGGTGTGGGTTCTTTAGTGGCGATTTTCAAATTTTCGCCAGTTAAAAATCATTTTCTGTCATTTCTTATGCATTTTATGCCGGATAACTCCCTAGGTGGAGTCAGATCCATCCCTCTCACTGTTCCTAGGAAGGAATTTGATCTTTCAAATCAAAACCTAAAAACGAGTGTAGCGAAAATTTTGGCACCTGTAATCTGCTATGTCTAGAAAACCTTGAAATCAAGGCAGAGGTGAAAGAATTTCAGAAAATTTTACACTTTTTTTGTAAATTACACTTCGTAGTATAAGTGTCTACACGAGTCTTTACGATTCATCACATGAATTTTTGATAGTTTATGAGTTAAAAAGGTATTTACCCACTCACGCCACGGGTCAGAAGAGAATGATGCTTTCTGGTGAATAGACCACAAAAGCGCCGAAGTCCACCAGCTGTGGAATTTTGTGTAGAAACACGTACGGCGAACAACCGACCCGTGAAAACGGCGCTAGCATTCTGGGTACTCTTTAGAGATACTGTGAACAGTGACTGTTTGTGAAGCAAGTTTCCGTCCGCTTTGTATTGAAAGCTCATTGTGTCTTAAACGTCTTAGTGATAAAGCCTTGGAAATTGATTGCAAAACGTTGGACTATGCAGCCAATAGAAGTTTGAATGTCAAACTAGCGCTTTCAGAAAAATCCGGGTCACAGACCCCCTTTCCACTCTCAAATGAAGCGAGAACCACCGGTACTGCTTTTTGAGAGAAATAGCTGTAGAAAAAATCTCTAGTGGAGGTGCTTTTTAAAGGCTCTAGTCTTTCCCTCAGTTTTAAATTAGAATTAGGACATCTCAAAGGTAGGGTTATTGAAGGAATTTAATAAATGTATTGGAATGTCAGAAACTTAGAGTGTGAAGAAAAGGAAAGGAGGAGGAAATTTTTTGTTTATGAGAAACTCTTACAAGAATTTTAAATCTATTCTGTACCGCCAAGAAACATTGTTTTTTAAAGTTAGGGGTGGTGCAATTTGTTGAAACAGCTTAAAGACAATATAAAGTTTGGAATTGGCAGCGAGCTTTGGACTGACTGTAATTGGCAGTACAAGTTGAGTATTTAGATTTAGGTACGGTAAAGTTTGGCAATCGGAAGACAAGTTGGGCGGCTTTCTGGAAGTAGAAGGATACCAGCTTTTCGATGTAAATGTATGCATTTCGGGTTTATCGTAAGAAAATTTGGCAATCTCCTGTCTCCTTGAATGTAGATTGAAGAATGCATTTTGAACATGCAGAATTGCTTACTACTGACCGGGAAGAAAAAGCGCGATAGGCGAATTTGGACCAACCGGGTGAACGCTGTTACAAGTGTTCGCGGTGAGTGCACCACAAAATCCAAGTGTGAATGGGGGAGGTATTGAGTTATGATGAATAACATTAATGTTTAGGTTGATTCCGGCATCGGGGCAGTCGGTCGAAACGCGCGCTGCAGTCGATAGGAATATGGGTGGGGTGGAATCGTATGTGAAACACTATATGTTTTACGGAGTATGAAGCTCATTGGAGAGGATGTGGGGGGGCCCACCTTTATGTGTTGCAGCAACAGGACGGACAGAAATTAAATTTTAAGCCGTAAACGTCCAATCAAGCTGTCGTCCTTTTTTTCGGGAGCGGGTAGTTCGTACGAACCTCTGAGAGGGTAAAATACTGGCTTGTACATCGGTTAGCCTGCATGTCGTTGTATTAGGTTGTCCGGTAAGTAATGTTATTTTTTCTGCATAGAAATTTTTTTCCTTGTAGGAGTCCACGATAAAGACGAAGATCGAAGGAGAGATAACTGTGATGTGGAGTGACATGCGGCCTCCTAAGGGTGCGGACCGACACGCAGTTTGCATCGAAGTATGTATATGGTTACGGCGATAACGTGGCCTTCCCCGCGGCGTGATTGCCGCACTATTGTACTATGGTTCAGTTTGAAGACATTGGTTCTCCTCAGAAGCATATTTGTGTACGTGAACAGTCACATATGGACACTACTGCAGTAGACTCTTCTGCTCTGAGGTGCGCCATGCACTCGTTTGTGGTTAGTAGTTGGAGAAGCACTCGAAATTATGCCTCTCACCTACGTATTGCGACGTTGACCTTTGCGAATACGACCCCTCCCCCCTTTCGGTCGGCCGATACGACCCCCTCGTTGGACTTTGTCCAACGGACGGTTGGTGCGATGCAGTGGAAAATGAAACGTTTGCGCCAAAGGTGGAAGGGTCAAAAATGTGTTTTTAGCGACCAAATTCTGAAAAACATGTGAAGCGATTTCTTCGTCAACATTTGTGACAGATGTACGGCGGATATTTGAATTGCAAAAATTGGAAGAATGAAAAAAAAACAAAAAACTGAGAAATTCCAAGCCAGTAATTTGTGGTAAGAAAGGACATGATTTTTCCGTGGACGATTTTTTAAGGCCACGACTCCACTTCTTCTATTTCTCTAACGCTGCTGATTGAAAAAATTGAGAACTCGTAGCTTTATGGCGTCTTCTAACAGGCCCTTTAGATTAGTACCTTTTTTTTAAATG